AGCATCTCGTCGGCTTTCTGACGCCGGTTTAATTGAAGCGACTTGCTTTCCATCACCGGGGCTGGGAGCTGGCCTTGTCCTGGTGCTTTGCCGCAGGCTTGTAAATGGCTTTTCTTAAATGTCGTTGTCTGGACAGGCTTGAGGCCATAGGTGTGTTGGTTTTGTTTTGTTTTTTTTTTAAATTTATTTTTCTTCAGTCCGCCACTAACCTTGCATGATTTTGATAAGGGTGTTTTTCTGTTCCGCAGTTGTCAACTGAGGTTAATACTATCTGCTGTAACTGCCGGGCTTTGAAATCCTCTTAGCGAAACTGAAACGCTGGTCTTCCCAAATGCCTTTACAGGGAAGTGGAGCTCAGGAATCCGTGTTAGGCTCCTGGCGCGTAACCTTTTGAGCTGTCTTTTCCCTGAAATCGCAAGCTAAGTGCGTTTCCTCTGTCCTTACAGGAGTACACTTGCCCGAGATGTGAATCCGGGTTTATCGAAGAAGTCACAGATGACTCCAGGTAATGTACGCATCGATGCACCGCTTGTTTTACCACACACTTATGTTCCTCCGGGGTTTAGAAGACACCTGGTGTAAAGCCTCTAAAAACTGTGGACAAGAAGGATAAAATAAGGAATGCAAAAGAAAAAGCTTATACATCCGTGTGAATTTGAACTTAATACCAGATGAGACTGAAAATACGAGTGGCCGTCGGCCTCGTGCTAGAGCCGCGTGGAGGGGTTTGGGGAAGACTTCCAAGAAGATGGGAGCTGTGAATTAAGGCTGCACAAGGTCCTGTCAACAAAAGCGCTTACAGGTTTTGGATGCCTGTTTCTTCGGTCTATTAGAGCAAAAAGCATGATTTTTGTTTTTTTAGGAATCGCTGAGTCTCAGTGACCCGCGACACCTTTCTTTTTTTCCCTCCGTTGGCCCCAGCTCAGTCTCCTGACCACCTCTCCAATCTCACAGCTCAGGCCAAGAGAGAAAGAAATACCTTTTCTCTCTAGGATTTGGTCATTGGTCACCCAGCAGAGCACGCTGCCTGCAAATTAGGGATCCAAAATGACGCCTGCTAAGCGCTAACTATGTTCTGTCTTGAGTAATCGCTGAGAAAACTGCTTTATTTGGGTTGGGGGTAGGCGAGATGAAAGGGCGGCAGCCATTACGTGAACCTTTGCTATCTGAGGCTTGCCGCAGCAGGAATCTGGGGCCGGGTCAGCGGGGAGATGACTTAACGTCACGCTACGTCCTCTGCTTAAGCGGCGGGTATGCGCCTATATTTAAGGCAAGACTGAAGGCGTGCTCTGGGATGCTTAGCACACCATCCCGTTTGCAGAATGACGATGCTCCACCTCAAATGCCTCCTCTGAGGAGGCTCTCCCGGAGTCTGGGTCGTTAGAAACCAGGTTTCTTTCACGGTCAGGTTGTGCGTAGCGTGCTGGCACGTAAACAAGCCTTTTAATTTTAGTAATCCTTTTCTGTCCCTAGGAGTTACTCCGCTGTGTTCGCACGGGCAGGCTCTGTTTGCTCATCCCTTTCTCGCAGACCACGCGGGGGCTGGCTTGCTCACATGAGCTCCTGTCTGTATTTAGCCCCAGAAAAGGGGAGCTGATTTCTGGAGGGGTGACCTGCTCTCACTTGCCTGTTTTTCTCCAGTTTTTTAGATGGCAGCGGCATAGACGACAGCCCGTCCACACAGTTCGCAGAGGTGAGTTTTGGTTTCGCTTTTGGTTTTTTTAACTGTAGCCATGAAGAGGTTTTCAATCTTGGCTCCGGGTGCGGTACATGAAGGCATCTTCGCTCACTGCCTTGCGAAAAGGACAGCTGATCTTCCTGAGAGTTTTCAGGAACTTGGCAAATTTTGAGGAGAACTGTTGACATTGGCGGGGTTGAGACCTGCCAGAGATTTGCTCGCTGAGCAGGGCAGGAAAAGAAGGATGCTAAAAAGACGCGCCGGCCGCTGGTGCTGGCAGATGCTGGGTGCGTCGGTGGTGCTCAGCCAGGGAGGGTGTTGCCTGGCTGCCCTTCCCCCCCAGCGCCTTGCCGCTCCGAGTTTTACCAGAAACGCAACTATCTAAAAAGCCCAAACTTAGAACAAAATCCGTGTCTCGTAATTCAGTCGCGCGGACCTCGGAGCAGGGGGTGTTGAGCGGCGAGGGCTGGCAGTGTCTTTTCTTACCCCGTTACCTAAAGTCTCAAAGAGCCGGGCACGTGCCAACAGCCTGAGTCGAGCTCCGCGCCCCGAACTCGTGCTGTGGCCTCGCCTGAGACAGCCCGGGCTCGCGGCTGCAGCGGCAGCTCCTCTCCCAGACCCCGGGGAAGGAAGGGCGGCTTTAGGCTCCAATCGCAGGCTCCGTGCCTCGGGGCTCGGTTTCCCTTCAGGAGTTCAGCTGAGCTGTGTAAAACAGATGGAAGTAAGATTTGTACGCGTCTCCTCTGCCAGCAGACCTTGCTCGGAGATCAGGTTCTTCGTTTGCTCGGTTACTGAGGAGTTTTGACTGTTCCTCCGTCCTGCCGGGAGAGCTCCCCGATGTCTTGAGTCGCAGCCCGTTGGCCAGGGTAGATTTTGGGGGTCTGTGGAGTTGCTGAGCCCTCCTTCGCGTGCTGCAGCAGAGCCACGCAGTTCAGCGCCAGAAAGAGGGTCACCAAATAGCTGAAATCCCTCTCCGGCTTTGTGTTTCGGATCTGGATCCCTCCTGTTGGCTTCCACGTTCCCCGCGTACGGCTGGTTTGCCTCCCCTCCTCTTCAGCTGGATCCGTTTGTCTCCTGAACAAAACTCTTGCCTTTGTATCGCTCTCCCCAGTGCCGTATCCCAGAAGTGCCCGTGTTTCAGCGAGATAAAGTGATCTCGTCTTAGAGCCCACGTGTTGGTTTACAAAGAGCTTTGGGATGCCTCTGCATGAAAGGCGCTATGTAAATTGAAATGGCTTTTAGGATTAATAATAAATGAAAGTCTTCTCTCAGCAGTGTGGCTGCAGGCAGGCAGAGCTGTGTCTTGATCATAACCAGCGGGAGAACAAGCAAAACTCTGTCTGCAGGGTATTAATTCAGAGAACAGGTCATAAACTTGACTTCTCCCTTTCCTCCAATACCAGATTGAGCCGGGCAATGTAAGAGACTTGTAAAGTGAGCTAATTTGGTGTGAAATGGAAATGAAGCCGCTCTGATCATGTCATAACGCATGATGAGGGCCTAATACAAATAAGAAAAGAACAGCCCTCATGTTCCGCTCTGTAGCATTTAATTCCTGCAGTAAATCCGAGGGCACCGCTCCTTCGAATATCGCTTTTGCAGCGCGGAGCCTGGCCCGGGTGTATCGAGCGTGAGCAGCGGCTTGCTCCCACATGGCACACGGAGGGTTTATCGTCTGACGCTGCTTGTTTTGCCGTGTCCTACAAATTTTTTTATTTTTTTTTTTTTCATAAACCCACATCATAAATCTTTGGTGCCCTCCTCAGCTGTTACTTTAATCCGTGGGCGATCTGAATCGTGGAAGGAATAAAACCAAATGGGGTTTGTAAATCAGGGTGGCCGAGGCGGGGCTCTCAGCTCTGAGCTGCGGCTCCGAGGATGCTTTGCTCCGGGTTCCCGGGTGTTTTTGTGCACCCTCCCAGTTTCTCTGCAGTGGGGAGCGTAGCCAGGAGCTCTGCGGGGATACTGGTTAGACTGGATGATCTTAAAGGTCTTTTCCAACCTAAACGACTCTATGATTCTAAACGATTCTACGATCCATTGCTGACCCCCACCGCAGCTCTTGATTTGCGTCCCTGCTCGCCCTTGGGCAGGCTCAGGGCTGGCGATTTGACTTGGTCGAGGAGCTGGGTGGGTTTGTGCAGCGCCGGCAGCAGGGAGATCTGCTGGAGGGCCAGGAGATGGCTTTACCTGGGTGGATGGACCCCACAAAACAGCGTCACACGTGCAGCACCTCTCGTTAGCGGCCATTTCGTGCCTCTCTGTTCTGCCGCGTCGAGGACGCGGAACCGGAGGACGCAACCGGAGACACGGACCCTCCTTCCGGGGGGTTCTTTTGGCCACGTCCATTTGCCACCTGTGGCTGTGAGCGCCCAGAGCGTTCAATGAGCCCATGGGTTTTGGGCCTGGGTGTCCGGCGTTCTCTATTCTCAATTCCCAGACCTCGGAGAGAGACGGAGACCAACCCTCGCAGTGCCCTGGGGTGGCTTAACAAACTACATGCTGTTGGGATCTGTGCATAGCAGGAAAGAGCTGACGTGTTGGTCTTCCCGGGGGCGGTAACATCTGATTAGTTTGGGCTATAATTAAGCCTTTTTGCCAGACTTTTTTTTCTGGGAGCCATGGTAACCATATGAATTTGCTCAATTGCTTCTGTCGAGGTGGACTTCCCTGCCTCCGCGTTGGCAGCGGAGTCACCGGGCTGAGTGACGGAGCTGTGTGTGGTTTGTGTCTCCCCTTTTCTCCCCCTCAGCTTTGGGACCATTTGGACCACACAATGTTCTTTCCTGACTTCAGACCCTTTCTGAGTAGCAGCTCACTGGATCAAGACAGCAGGGACAACGAGAGGGGCCACCAAGCCCACGCCGACCTCTGGGGACCAAGCCGACCCCCGCGATTGCCCATGACGCGGAGGTACAGATCCCGGGGCAGCTCACGCCCCGACAGGTCTCCTGCTATCGAAGGGTAAGAGCCTAAATTTACCCCTTGGAAGTGTCTCCCTCCCCAGTCAGTGGAAAAATGTGGGGCCTTGAGGAGAAACCTGACAAAACGGGATCCTGGCACTTATGGTAGGTGAGCCTCGGACCCGGAGAACACGGGTTTTCACATCAGACGCCGTACCCTTTGTCCCTCTCGGCACGAATCGCAGCTGCGTGGTGGGAAAGGTGGGTTTTGCCTGTAGCGGTGCCAACCCTCGCCACAGGGAAACGAGTCAGGCCTTGGGAAACTCAGTCATTTCCTCTCCCGGCCCTCCCACGCTCTGATGAGTTAGCATCCCTCGCTCCTTCGTGCTGTGCCTCCGTCTCGGGGCTCGCCCTTCTGCAGAGGGATTTACCTAGGCACGAGTCTTGCGACAACGCGGCTCTGATCGATGGGAGCAGCGTTTTGTCTTTTGCTGCCTGTCCTTGCTAAACCGTTGCTGCTGCTGGGTATTTGTTTGCTCAACTTGTTCTTTTTTTTTTTTTTTTTTTTTTCTCTTTCAATTCCTCCCTCTTTAGAATAATACAGCAGATCTTTGCAGGGTTTTTTGCAAACTCAGCGATTCCTGGCTCACAACACCCTTTTTCCTGGTGAGTAGCAAGCATAGTTTAGACCACGGCTTTGATCATGGCTGTCCGCACCAGTAAACAGCCATGGTCTGGTGCCCGGGAGCTCTGTCTCCCCAGTGTGGCTTCTCTGGGAGGATCGTGCAAACCTCGGGGCTGCTTTGGGGTGCACAAAACAATCGTGCCCCTGTACTCGGCACTGGGGAGGCTGCCCCTGGAATGCTGTGTCCAGTGTTGGGCCCCTCACTACAGGAAGGACATTGGGGTGTTGGGGCGTGGCCAGAGAAGGGCAGTGGAGCTGGGGAAGGGTCTGGAGCACA